ACTGAGCCATCTCACCAGCCCCGACACTGCATCATTTTAAAACCAAAGCATGGCAGGATGGCTGAGAGACAGACTGAGAAAACAAGCAGGGGCTGCCACTTAGGACAGAAGAGGGACAAAGTCAGTCAAGACACCAGTCACACGAGCCAGGAACAGACCCTCGACTTCTTTTACCTCCACTGCAATGTCAATAGTCCCAGAGAGAATATAACATATTTGGTTCCTTATTTTTTTCTTTTTGTGCAGGGCCTCATTTTGTGTCCTGGGCTGGCTTCCAACTTACAGTGATCCGCAGCCTGCCAGGTGCTGGAACTGCAGGCACGCACTAGCACATCTGGTTTAGAGAGATCTTGTGTTAAAAAATACCTGGGAGTTGAGAATGTTGACACATGTCTGTAACCCTAGAACTCAAGGGGCTGGGGAAAAGGATCACTCTGAAAAAAACAAAACAAGCTCAATGCGGTGGCTGTGATCCCTGTGCTCTGGGAGGCTGAGGCAGGAGAATAACAAGTTTCAAGACCAGCCTGGGAAACAAGGTGAGAACTTATATCTCAAGGCCAGCCTGGACTACATGGCACATTTAAGCTCAGATTGCATTACAAAGCTTGTCCTGTCCCTCAGGCTCTCCAAGAGCCAGGTAAGCAGGAAACAGAGTTGACACCGCTATGATTCTGCGATAAGAGCAGTGGAGCCCTCCACTGCAGCTCGGCTCCCAGCCCTGAAGAACTAGAAGCAGGCTGCCTGGATGCAGCCCAGCTCTCTTGAACACCAAGGAAACATGTTGTCTCACATAACGGGCAGTTCTTGGGCAGGACATTTCTCAGAGGTGACAGATTTAGGGGCTTTTAAAAAATCTTTATTTGGTACAGGGTCTTGCTACGCAGCTCATACTCATAGCAATCCTTCTATCTCAGCCTCCCCAGCACTGGGATTGCAGGCGTGCACCACCATGCTGGGTTTCAATGGCTAGCTTGGCAAAGGGTCGGCACAGCATGTGGTATCAGGGATTGAACTCAGATCCTCGTACTTCCCAGGCAGGCACTCAGACCGCCCAGCTATCTCCCCAAAGCTAGGGGCTCACTTTTGTCATTAAGGACACAGGTTCTGGTCAGGTGTGGTGGTGCATGCTTGTACTCCTAGCATTCAAGAGACTGAGACAGGAAGATCACCATGAGGTCAAGCCCAGCTTGGGTAACATAGTAGGCAACCAAACAAAAAAGGACATAAGCACCACTTCTGCTTTGCATGGCTGTTTTTGCTTTTTTGAGATAGCATCTCTCTACATAGCTCAGGCTGGCCCTGATCTCGAGGTGATTCTCTCAGCTCAGTCTCCCAAGAAGTAGAATTACAGGTGTGCACCACCATGTCTGGCTAGCTTTTTCATTCTGTAGGGAGTAGTACTTATCTCCCAAGATTGCCTGCTGCAACCCAACCCCAATGAGCAGCCTAAGTGAAGAGTCCTGGCTCCCATACGTTTGACGCAGCCAACAAGAATTTGTACGGATGTTGGCGTGGTGGCACACACCTGCAATCCCAGCACTTGGGAGGCTGAGGCAGGACTGCTAGGAGTTTGAGACCAGCCTGGGCTACAGAGTGAGTCCAAGCCTGCCTGAACTACATAGTAAGGACCCTGTCTAAATTAAAAAAAAAAGCAAAGAAAGAAAATAATTATTGAAAATGTCCTATTAATCAGCTTTGAAAAAGAAATAAAAATAAAAGATTAAACACTGAAAAAGACAAAGCAAGCAAGCAAGCAAGCTCCCAAGATAGCTCAGCGGGCTAAGTGCCTGCTTGGGCAAACTAAGAGACCAGGGTTCAAACCCTGGTCCCACAGGCTACGCCAGCCCCACCCCAGGACATGCTGAGCTCCTGACAGAGTCTGGGCATGGTGGTGCATGCCTGTAATCCCAGCATGGGGGAGGCTGAAAATAGGATTACTATGAGTCTGAGTGCATAGTGAGACCCTGTACCAAATACATAAAATGAAAAAAAAAAAATCATCTACATTTGTAGTACATAATAATATTCCTCATGGGCTTGTACTTGTACATAACATACCTTAATTCTTCTCATGTGCCCTTTCCTCTCCTCCATCTCTTGGTGGTGATCCTATAAGACAAGCCAGGTGTGTGTGTCCACCTGCCATCCTAGCTACCAGAGTTGGGGAAGCAAAGACAGCAATTACACTCTAGTCTGCGTAACAGAGACTGCTCAGTGGCACAGTGTGTTCAATCCCCAGCACTAGGAAAAAAAACCAAAACACCAAAAAACAAAAACAAGCTCAATGTGGTGGCCCATACTTGTGATCCCTGCGCTCTGGCAAGCTGAGGCAGGAGGATAACAAATTCAAGACCAGTCTGGGCAACATGGTGAGAACGTATCTCAAAAAACCAGCTGGAGACCCAGCTCATGTGAAGGCATTAGGTTCAACCCCCTAGTACAGCAAAGTAAATAAACGATTAAACAAACCTAAATAACATTTCTACAAGGGCTGGGGCTGTGGGTTAGTCTGAATGCCCACTTTATGAGCTGTTTTTTTGTTTTTTTCTACCTTTCCTAAATCCTACACACACACACACACACACACACACAAACACACACACAGAGAACCGTCCCATCACACTGTAATTCCCAATATTATTAGGATTTACCTCTTCGTGCACCTGGAGGTCTCCACTCATTGGGCATTTTGTTTTATCAGTATTTTTTGAAGGGAGGGGTCTTTTTGAAACAGGGTCTCACTATGCAGTATAGGCCGGCCCTGAACTCACTTTGAAGCCCAGGCTGGCCTCAAAGTTGGAGGGATCCTCCCACCTCAGCCTCCCAAGTGCTAGTATTACAGGTGTGCTACCCGGGGCCCCTGCAGCACTTCATACCTCCCTCAGGCGTTCTTCATGGCTTCCTCCACCTCCAGGCACGCGTGGACATTTACTCGAGGCTAAGCCGCCTGGGGCAAGGTCTCTGCTGTCCCTGCACCTGCTTAGCCTGTTAGACGGGCAAGAGTCTGGACAAGGGTCTGTGCATTTCCCTCCACCAGACAGTACCAGGCTCTATTTCAAAGTATTTGAATATTTTACTCCTCCCTCTGCCTTAGGTCCAATGTAGAGAAAAAATATATTTTTTAAAAAAAATATGGGGCTGGGGCTGGGGAGATGGCTCAGTAGAGTAAGTGCTTTCCTGGCAAGCACAAAGGCCTCAGTTCTATCCCTGGTTCCGCAAAAAAAAAAAAAAAAAAAAGTATGGAGCTCTCGCAATAGCGCCCTGGCTCGTGAGAACTTGCAATCTTTCTCTATCAATCTCCCAAACAGCTGGAGCTGCAGGTGTGCATCACCGCACCTGTCTAGCAAACGTGTTCAACTCGCAGGATACAGAAATGACGGGCTATTATTGCACTAGGTCTTTACATACCCTGAAAGGTCACATCTTAAAATACTGTCCTCCAGCTGTGCAACTCCTGGCCCAGCCTCAAAGGTACGCCACTTAGTTTTCTCTTTATCTCGTTCACACAGGGTCTCACTAAGTCACTTGCGGCGATCCTCCTGCCTCAGTCTCCAGAGTGCTGGGACGACAGGCGTGCGCCACTGCGCCCGGCCTGGGTCCCCTCTAAAGTCGGATGGTGTGGCATCAAGCCTCCTCGGGAAGTCCGCTGCACGACTCCGGGACAATCCTTCGGTACTCCAGAGCCAGGAGGCAGCCGAATCGGGAACTCCAGACCCACCCGGCGACCCGCCTGTGTCATCTTGCCTTTCCTTAGCGTCGAGTTCACCACCTCGTGAGACCAACACGCTCAGCTCTCTAAACACGCGCACCCGAGATGCAGGAAAGACGAGGGCGGCACCGAACCGCGGCCAGAACGCCGACGGAACCCGGAGCCCGGCAGACGTAGTTCCTTCCCCGGCCGGACCGCAGAGGACACGCAAGCCCGCCACGCTCTCCCACTTTCGGAAGCTAAGGCCGCAGGAGCTGCTGCTGGGCGGAGCGGTGCAGAGGTCCAGCTACACGCCGGCTGGCCGCCAGTGCCTAGGGACCAGAGCAGCTAGTGCCGAGCCAGGCGGAGGACCGCTCAAGCACCACTTCGGTGTGGGGGGTCACGCGCGGGAGGCGGGATTTCCGCCCGGGGCCTGGAAGCGCTCTCTCAAGGCCTTATGGGATTTGTAGTCCGGCCGCTGTTGGGGGGGCTGGCGGCTCATGCGCCGTGCACTGAGGCTTGTTTCACATCTGTAACAACAGGTGAATTGGGCTTTTTATTCTCCCGTTTTGTGCCCCCTAGAGGAGCACGCCGCGGCCGGGGGTGGTCGGTGTGAGGAGGGGGATCCCGGTCCTGCCGCCGGCCCCGCGGAGGGTGGGGCGGGGGAAGCCGGCAAGCCGAGAAGCAGGCCGGGCATCCTGGGCCTGCCCGGGAAGCCAGCCCGGCGGAGCCTGGGACAACCAGGCCTCGGCCTGCCGTTGCCATGGAGCCGGGGCGGGGGCGGGGGCCAGGCCGGTCGGCCGGGGCGGGCCTGGCCGCCTGGGGCTCGGCAGAGACAGCGGGAGAGGCCGCTTCATTGGCGCAACGACGCCTTGGCCCCAGGGGATGCTGCGATTCAGGAGGCAGGCCCCGGAGGCAGTCTCCCGAGTGCCCCGAGACCTTTGTCTGCCCCTCCTCCCCCGCCGTGGCCTGGACCTTTCGCTCAGAGGGAGGCCTGGTGCATTCTGGCCCCCCTGCTTTGCCCCGTTTTGCACAGACCTTGTCACTGGGGGAGGCCAAGGGGTGAGGTGTTCTTTGTTTGCTGGTGGCGACTTGCCCCATTTTGCAGGGAAAGACTTCATGCATGTTGGGTCCTTTGTTTGCAGTGAACTGGAGTTCCAGGGGTCCTTAGGACCCCCCCAAGCCAGGAGTATGGCGTCAGCGTGCTTTCTAGTGAGTCCTCGTGGAGCAACTTTGGTCATTTAATTACCATTTTGCAAGACTGAAGCAGTCCCATTCCCTACCCCAGTGCTGGGGGCTTGCCCTGCACTGTAGCAGGTAGACTGCAGCCGGCCAGTCGCAGGCTCTCAACCTGTTTTGGTTGCAGTTTACTGGCTATAATCACAGATGTTATCCTTGCAGTTTCTTGGAAGGCAGTGACCCCACTGAGGTTGTGGATCATGTAATTTACACTTCAGTTGCACTATCTTCCTTCTTATGGGAAGGAAGGATCTTCTCCTGTCATGTGCATAATATTTGGGATGTATAATGCTCTTTTCTCATACATTTATGTTTGCTGCATCCTCTTCTACCAACGTGGACTGTCCCTTTCTTGCTGAAAGATGCTCTCCAGTTGTTTTATGTAGCTGTGGTCCAGATTTTTGCCAACTGTTGGACCCTTCTTGTGCTCTTACTCTTTGAAGATGTCATTAAAAGATGTTCCTTTAAGGAATGGACCTTTGTGCATTTGGGCTATAGTATGATGGCCTAGAACTAAGAAAAGTGTGTGTAAGCATGGGAAGCTTTGGAGTCGGGCATAAATGCATTATTCCCATTCTGCTCTGAGGCAGCTTGGGATCTCTGGCAAGTTGTATATCTCTTGCTTTAATTTCCTTCTCTGGAAAAACTAATTCCTACCTCAGAGGGCAGTTGAGTGTATTAACAGGATAAAGTCTGTGGTAGCAATTTTTTACCTGTAAAAATTGCATTCAACATTAAGTTATTTTCCCAGTCTGGAAGAATGTTAGGGCTCGTTTATCTACTTTAGATTTATGTTATAATCATGGCATCAGAAGGCAGAATGGAAGCCCGTGATGCCCTGAGCCTGGAGAACCACCTTTCAGGCTGACAGGCCCTTTACTTTGATGTACCTTACCTTCTTGATGTCTTCCAGGTGCTGGTGTAAGAAGGATGGGTCTAGAGTAGGTCATAACAGGTCTTGAAGTAAGGCCACTGTTCTGGTGTTTCTCATGCCACTCAGGAACCTTGTCCTTGTTAAAATTAGTAAATAAATGTGCATGATTGAACCCTTTTGTTTCCCTGTGTGACCCAGCATTGTCCTTCCCAGGAGGAGGCCCAGCCTCGTGATGAGGAATAGCAAGGAGAGACTTAAGCTCCAGTTTAAAAACCTGCAAACCCTGAGCCCACTCCTGCTTTTATAAGGTGAGTTGACTGCGCTGTGCCACTCTGGAAAGCCAAGAGCCACGTGTCAGTTCCACTTGGGACCATCTTGCAAGAGCAGTGTCAGTGTCACCGTTCGGAGTCTTGGAATCATCCGTAGGCTACCAGAAATCGTGCTACACTTGCAAGAAGGCTTCACCTGATGGAGTTGGTTTTTGTTTTGATATCAGGAATCAAACTCAGGACTTGCACTTGCCAGGCAGACACTGTGCCACTGAACTGTATCGCCGGCCCTGCACCTGATAGAATTTTATTTCTCTCTGTGTCGCTTGAGAGACCGAACCACAAAGTATTTTGTTTTAACATTGCCACACTACATTCTTTTAGATCTCTAGGAAATTTCTAGAGCTCCAAAACCCAGAGTCTATTTGCAAGCAGATTTATCGCTTCTCAGCCTTATGGCTAAGATCAAGTGTAGTGCAAGTGGTCTCCATAAAGATTTCTGTTTTTCTTTTCTTTCTTTTTTTTTTTTTTTTGGCAGAACCAGGGATTGAACTCATGCCCTTGCATTTGCCAGGCAAGTGCTTATACTGCTGAGCCATCTCTCCAGCCCTTTTTCTCCCTTTCTAAATAACTGATAAAAATGGACCGCTGGACCAGTTTGTGTGCCATCGTTGCACAGGGTCCGTGCTAATTGACATTGGGTCTCCCCAGGGTGCCCATGCTGGCCTTGAACTCTTGGGCTCAGGTGACCCTTCTGTTTGAGTTGTTTGAGTACCTGAGCTGTATGGGCACTTACCATCCCCTCTAGCCTAATTTAAAATTTATTAGCAAGAGCTGGAGATATAGCTCAGTGGCACAAGCACCTGCCTGGCAAGAGCAAGGTCCTGAGTTAAATTCCTGGTGCCAAAAAAAATAGTTTCTTAGCAAAAAAATTTTCTCTCTTTTTTCCTTTTTACAGTATTCTGCTGCTGAATGACATCACCAGACCTAAAAAAAAAAAAAATACTATTTAATAATTGCTAAAGATGTTTTACACTTTGAACTATTCAGGTTTTCTTTAAAAGTAGAATCTCAAAAAAAAAAAAAAGAAGAAAGAAAGGGGGCTGGGGAGATGGCTCAGTGGAATAAGCGCTTCCCAGGCAAGCGCAAGGGCCTGAGTTCAATCCCCGGTTCCGGAAAAAAAAAAAAAAAAAAAAAGTAGAATCTCAAAAATACACTGTCTTTATTTTCACTGGGATAGAAGGAGTTTGTAGGAGATGTAAAATACGTCATCATTGATGTATTGAAGTTTTCTCTGAGCTACTGTGTTTTTATGAATGTTTCTGAAATTTCTGCTGTCCCTGGGGAGAGGAGGCGACCAGGGCAGACCCACCATGGACATTGAAAGACTCAGCCTAGGTTAACCTTCCACAGTCTTCCTCCCTGCAGTTTCCTGGTGAGAGGGGTTAGCAATCAGGAGTGGGTGTATACTCCTGGTAATGCTGGATAGTAATCGCTGCATTAAAATGTTGTGTGGATCTCTTTCTTTCTCTACCATGCCAAGTCATTGTGTACATGTTTTTAAACCATGGCTATTAAAATTTATTGCAACCATTCCACTGGTAGTTATAAAAAGTCCTACGTTACAAAAACATGTACCAGTCTTGGGTTTGGGTGTTTTTCAGAACAAAGTCAGAGGTGTTGCTTTCTCCCCTTCTCATTTCTAGGTATAATACTCAGTTAAAAGTACTAATTCAGGGCTGGTGAGAGCTCAGCAATCTACGGCACCTGCTTTGGCAAGGTTAGACAGGTGCAGGGGACTGCAGTCCAACCCTGGCACCACGTGCTGTGCCAGCCCCGCCCTCAGAGTGGACTGAGCCAGCCAAAAAAAACCTTCTAATGTATAAAATACACCAAACTTTTCATCACCAATAACTGTGCTTTGGGGCTGGGGAGATGACTCAGTGGAATAAGCACTTCCCTGGCAAGTGCAGGGGCCTGCCTTCAATCCCTGGTTCTGCCAAAAACCCCAAAAAACCCTACCAAACAATAACTGTGCTTTAATTTTAGTATTTGTTCTTTATAGGGATTCTACCACAGGCAGGTTTTTTTGTTTGTTTGTTTGTTTGTTTGTTTTTTCCGAAACTGGGGATTGAACTCAGGCACTTGTGCTTGCCAGGGAAGCACTCATTCCACTTAGCCATCTCCCCGGCCCATTTTTTTTTTTTTTCTTTATGTATTTGGTACAGGGTCTCATTACATGCCTTGGACTTGTAGTGATCCTCCTGCTTTCAGCCTCCCCAGTGCTGGGATTACAGGCATGCACCACCATACCCAGTCCCAGTGGCCGGCTCAGCACACTCAGGGGCAGAGCCAGCACAGCCTGTGATGCAGGGGATCAAACCCTAGTCCCTGTGCTTGCCTAAGCAGGCACTTAGTCTGCTGAGCTATCTTGCTGGCCTCACAGGCAGTTTTTAATTGAGTCCCTGTACAGCTTCTTTGGTTCTATCAATCACATCTTATCGGATCGCTTCTTGGCCATTTGGCTAAGATCAAGTATAGATCTTAATGGAATCCCAATAAGGCTGCTTTTCCGTAAAAGTCATCAGACCCAGCTAGATGTTGTAGTGCACACCTGTAATCTGAGCACTGTGCCACAGAGGCTGAGGCAGGAGGATTACCCTGAGTTCAAAGCCAATTTGGGCTATATAGTGAGTTCAAGGTCAGCCTGAACTATATAGTGAGACCCTGCCTCAAAAAAACCAAACAAATAAAATCCTCTGAGCTAGGCATAGTGGTGCACAGTGTAATCCCAGCACTCAGGAGGCTGAGGCAGAAGGATCATGGCAAGTTCAAGACCAGTGTGTACTACAAAGTGAGCTCAGGCCAGCCTGAACTGCATATCAACACCCTGTCTCTAAAGAATCCTCAGTCCTCTTTCCTGACTGTCTGAGACAGGCTCTGTGTGAAGTTTAGTTTCTGCTTGGATCTGGAGGAAACTTGCAGGTGTACCAAGGTGGAAAAGCATTCCTTTCTCCTCAGCAGGCCTCAGGGAGGTTTAGGACTGCAAAAAAAGAGCAAAGTGTCGCTGTTAGCGAGAAGCAGGGGCGGGCCCTATGATAGCTCAGTGCCTGCTTAGGCAAGCAGCCAGGGTTCCATTCGGCAGGCCGCGCTGGCCCCACCCACAGGGCGTGCTGGGACTGTGATTGAGACTGCGAGTGCCTGTAATCCCAGCATTTGGGAGGCTGAAAACAGGCGAATCACTACGAGTCCAATCTATGTGGTGAGACCTTGTAGATCCTGTACCAAATACAGAAGAAAAAAAAAAAAAAAAAAAAAAATCAGGGACACACGATGACCCCAGTGGGGAGCTGGTCTCCCACCCTTAAGCCTGGGGAGCAGAGCTGGGCTCTAGCATCCCATCTCCTGGGTGGTGTTCTCGGTTCCTAAAGGCCTTGTGTTTGTTGCGGGACTAGTCACTTAATATGCTTTGTCTTCTGACCTTCTCCTCAGGACTCCAGCTTTCCCGTGTGGCCAGAAATGTTCAGCCTCGACTCATTCAGAAAAGGTAAGACGTAGTGAGCGAGGGACCCGTGCCTGCTCCTGTGTGGAGCCGCCGGGAAAATTGTGGACGCCCCAGCCAGTGTGTACCTCCTCCAGTGTCTTCCCGAGGCCGGGCCTAGTCATCCTTATGTGGCCTCCTAACCTGAGCCACCCGTGCCCTGGCCTGTGTGTTTGTTTGTCACACTTTCCCTGAATGGCTTTGCATGCCTTCAAAATCCTTTCCAGGCTAACCCTCGCAACCCTCGTAGTGGGATTGACCCCAGAGCCTTTACCCAACCCTTTTCAAATTTTTTTTTTAATTTATTTGAGACAAATTCTCCCTTCACCATCTCTTGCCTCAGCCCAGCATGCTGGGATTACAGGCCCATTTCACTACTCTGAGCTCTGGGTTACCTTTTTTTTTTTTTTTTTTTTTTGCGGAACCAGGGATTGAACTCAGACCCTTGTGCTTGCCAAAGAAGCGCTTATTCTACTGAGCTATCTCCCCGGCCCTCAGTGTTTTGTTTGTTTGTTTTTTGTTTTTAATAGTGACAAGGTTTACTTGAGAAATTAAAAGTGAAGTGTGGGGAGAAACTGGCTCAGAAGTGTGTGCTTGGGCTGAGTAAAAGGAAAAAGAGCAATAAAGGGGTTGCTGGAGAAATGGCTGCTATTGAGAGGAAAGCCACGATAGCCAGTTATTGGTTTTTGTTTTTTTTTTAAATTATTTATTTTATTTTTTAATTGTGTGTGTGTGTGTGTGTGTGTGTGTGTGTGTGGCCAGCTCAGCCCACCAGGGGGCAGGGCTGGCTGGCATGTGGTGCTGGGGGATTGAACCGCGGTCCCTGTGCTTTGCTTAGCTTGTTCTAGGTAGGTGCTTTAGACCACTGAGCCATCTCACCAGCCCCGCCAGTTATTGTTATGTTGGTGTCTTAGTTACTTTCTTCTTCGCTGAGAGGCCCCCCCCCACAGTTGAAAGGAGGACAGGTTTATTTTGGCTCACAGTTGGTAGAGGTTTCAATCTGTGAAGCCAGCTCCAAGGCAGCGCAACATGGCAAAGGGGCCTGGCAGAGGAGAAGCAGCTCTCACCCTTTGAAACACGACGCAGAGCAGGATCAAGGAAGGACGTGGGAGACAGACCATGGCCCCAGGGACCCACCTCCTCTGGCCAGGTGTGACCTCCCCAGCTGTGGACCGTACATGTGACCCAGTCACCTCGCCAAAGCTGCACGTGTGAGCGCAGGAGGCTGTTGGGAGGACATCTAGGTATAAACTGTAATTATCAGTGATGGTAAAAAACTGGAAAGTCAGGCCGGGGAGATGGCTCAGCAGAATAAGCGCTTCCCTGGCAAGCGCAAGGACCTAAGTCAATCCTCAGTTTCGCAAAAAAAAAAAAAAAAAAAAAAAACCCGGGAAATTCCTCAAAACTAGCAGCCTGGGAGCAGAAGCAGTGGCGCTGTGCGTGGACCCCGCGCGTGGCGCAAGGTGCTGGTGGACGCTGCAAGGGCCAGGTCCTGGGGGTTTGTTTTCCAGGACAGCAACCTGCAGGGAATGAAGGGAGGAAGGCCTGTTGCAGTACTGGGGCTACCATAACGAAGAGAACCAGAGCAGAACTTTAGTACCTTCAGATGAAGTGGCTTGGCCGCTGGGTCTCCTCTCCACATTATGTGCCGAGATCCTAGGGACTTCGGGGCGAGAGTGGCCCGTGAGCCACCGCAGGGGGCCGGAAGGAGGGCTGCAGGCGCCCGTGTGCCAGCACCACAGCGGCCTCTTCCTGTTCTGTGTTGGTCTTCAGTGCCCCCGTTTTGTTGGGTTTTTTTTGTTTCTCTCTCTCTCTCTCTCTCTCTCTCTCTCTCTCTCTCTCTCTCTCTCTGTATGTGTGTGCGGTACTGGGGATTGAGCCCAGGGCCTTCACTTTTTTTTTTAATTTTTATTTTGAGACAGGGACTTGTTAAGTTGCCTAGGCTGGGCTTGCATTTAGAATCTTTCTGCCTTAGCTTTCCAGAGCTGGGATTAGAGGGATGTTCTAAGCTCCATATCTTTGTTTAGTGTTTGAAAGCTAATTTCTTTTTTTTTTTAAATTTTATGTGTTTGGTACAGGGTCTCACTACACAGCTGGGACTTGTAGCGATCCTGACCCTTTTGTTTTTATCCTCTCCAATTCTGGGATTGTAGGCATGCGTCACCACACCTGGACTTGGTCACTGGCTTGGGTGTACACAGGGGCGGGTCCATGGGGCATGCAGGACCAGGATCAAACCTTGGTCCCTGCACTTGACAAAGAAGGCACGTTAGTCCACTGAGCTAGCTTGCTGGCCCTAATTTCATGTTTTTAAAAAAATAATTTCTTTCTTTCTTTTTTTTTATTTAGTACAGACTTTACAGGGTCTACATGGTCTCATTATGTAGATTTGACTCCATAGTGATTCTCCTGTTTTCAGCTTCCCGGTTGCTGGGATTACAAGCACGTGCCACTATGCCCAGTCTCAATGTCCATCTCAGCACACCCTGTGGCCGGGGTCAGCAGGGCTCACTGGGAATCAAACCCTGGCCACTGTGCTCTGCTTAAGCAGGCACTTTAGTCCGAAACACTAATTTTATAGAATTTTTGTTTGTTTGTTTGTTTTTGTACTAGGGTATCATACTCAGGACCTTGCGCTTGCCAGACAGGCACTTACGCTGCTGAGCTCTCTTCCAGGTTTTAAAGATAATTTCTATCCTGTTATTTCTTGTTTTGTTATTGTTATTCTATGCTCATTTAGTTAGTTTAGTGTTTTGAGACAGGGTCTTGCTATGTCGCCCAGGCTGCCCTTTCGCGTCCTGTGTAGCCCAGGTTGGCCTCGAACTCAGGGTGATGTTGTTGCCTCAGCCTCCTGGGTGCTGGGGTCCCATGTGTGCGTGACGCTCCCCGCTACGAGTACTTACTCTTCTGGTGATACTGGGGGCTGAACTCAGGCCCTTTGCACTGAAGTACAGCCACAGCTCTTTAGTTTCTGATCAGTAGTCTCACTTGTCAGCCATGCTTATACACACCTGTAACCCCACACATGTGAGGCTGAGGCAGGAGGATCGCCACAGATTTGAGGACAGCTGGGTACACAGTGAGATCCTGTCTCAGAAACAGACCAAACAAAACAAAAAAACCCCAGAATGTCACGGAATTGTCCAAATTTGGCTCAAACTTAATGCTCCTCCTGCCTCAACCTCCCACAATGTTGGAATTAAAGGTGTATATCACCATATCTGGGCTTTTTAAATAGTTGTTGTTTTTCAAGTTTTGTTTTGTTTTTGGCTAACTAAATAAAGGAAAAGACTGAAGTCGAGATTTATGTGGCCAGCACAATTTTTCTGAGCTGAACGTGAACTATTCTTTAGTTGCTTTGCGTGCCCCCTACCTCCAGCGGGCTGTGTTGCCTCCCTGTGTAAGAGCGACTGCGGCCCAGGTGACAGCATCCCAGAGTAAAGAGGGCTGCCTCAAGAGGTCAGGGAGAGCCTCCTACGAGCCCCGTCTTCCTTTTCCCTCTACTCCCTCTCTGGCGTGACAGGTGATGGTCCAGAGCAGGACTCCTGTTTGAAACCTGTGATGTGACTTTCTAGGGTGGGGGTGGCTTTGCCTCAGCCGGGACATTGCAAGGGCTTAGTTTTATGTCAGCAGTACTGGGCTTCCTGAGCCAAGGCGCTGGACTTCGATGCCTGGGTCATAGCCCGGCTCTATCCCTTCCCAGCTAGAAGCCTGGGACAGGGCTGGGACAGTACTGGGCGGTGATGAAGCCTGTCTGTGCCTCTTTTGCTCCGGAGTTCGGAGTTTGGTGTAGGAAGTCACAGGGTCACTCCCAGGGTGGCTCAGTTAAAGTGCAGAAAAAGCTTAGGCCAAAGCTGGGCCTGCAGGAAATCCCAGTCCACACGGTCGCTAGGTGGCTTTAGGGCGTGGCACGGCCTGCTTTCTGAACAGGTAGACGTTGTGTTCTAATCCCTGGCCACCTCAGGCAACCACTGCCCAGAGATGCCTGCCTTCGGTATGCTGTTGCAGTTTCCTGGCTCTAAGGTGAAATGTAAACCTCACAGCGTTGGCAGCCTGTTTTGGGTTTCCTTAACACTATTGTCCTGTAGGACTGTTTACTCTTTTGATTTTTTGAGACAGCACTATGTAACCTCCTGAGTCCTGAGATTACACACTGGCCTTGAGCTCCTTGCCCTTCTGCCTCAGCCTTCTGAGTGAGCCTATTTATTTTTTTGTTTTGAGGCAAGGTATCTCTAAGGTCTGTCTCTTGCCCTTACTTAAAAAAATAAAAAATAAGAATAGGGCCAGGGATATAGCTCAGCAGCACAGCACCTGCCTGGGAAGCACAAGGACCTGAGTTTGATTCCTAGCACGGGGTGGGGTGGGGGGTCAGAATGATTCTCCTGCTGGTCTCCCAAATCCTGGGATTTCATGTATATGCCAGGAAGGCAGCTGGGGCGCCCATGCCAAGTGCTTGAATGGTCGCCATGACCTGGCTTGGAGCTTCTTAAAAATGTTCTGTGTAGGACTCTGGTAAACAGCATTTAGTCTTCAGATGAATGGAAATATTATAAATGGCAAGTTAGCTTTTTCTCTTTTTTATGAAGAAAGGGTCTTGATACATAGCCCAGGCTGGCCTTGAACTTGCAATCTTCCTGTCTCTACCTCCCAAGTACTGAGAGTACAGGCGTGCACCCCAACACCTGGCTCAGGTTCTCTATTAGCAAGAGGGAGAACACTAGTGAAGTGTGGATCTGCTTCCAGCTCTCAGGCTGGACCCCAATAATCATTAGTCTTGCTCTGTCCTTAGAGGGCAAGGAAACTTGGGGGTTGCTAGCCATGGTAGGCAGCTGGGGCGCCCATGCCAAGTGCTTGAATGGTCGCCATGACCAGAAAGGGCCATTTCTTGGTGTGGCCTTGCTGCCCCTGTGCCTTGGAACCTTTGCAGAGCTTCCCAGGGGTGTGGGGGTACTGCAGGTGCTGCACCGTGCACAGTGAGAATCTGTCCCTGACGCCCTCTTTCTCCCCAGATCGGACCCAACACAGACAGCGTCAGTGCAAGCTTCCACCACCCCGCCTCCCCCCCATGTGTGTCACCCCCACCCCTGGAGGGACCATCTCTCGAGGTAAGGGGCTTGGGTGTGGGTGGCCGGTAGCTTGGGAACCAGTGCCCAGCTGTGGCTCTGGAAAGCCAGGGAGGAGGGGCTGGTGGGGACTGCAGCTTAAGGACCAAGGACCTGACTTGGACCCTATGCCGCCTGGGTCTCCAGTGGTGACCTGGCATCTGCGGCGTCTCAGCTCATTCTGGATGCTGAGCTCCCAGGCAGAATGGCTTGGGCTCCCAACGTCCCCTCAGAGCACACAGGACAGAACCCTGCTTCAGTTAGACATCCCCACTTGAAGGCTCTAGAGTGCCTCACGAGTCACCTCCGTGTCCCTGCAGCACCTGAGAGTGCGATCCCAACCTCACAGTCCACCTCGGCCCTTGGCAGGGCGGGCTTTACTTTGGTGGGGTGGATGTTGCAGTGACGGTTCACCTGAGTCCATCGCTGATCTCAGGGCTCCTTTCTGGCTCTGCCATGGCCAAGCCCCTGGTGGCCCTCCGTCCTCCCTTCCTGCCCCTACCACACGCTGTCTCTGGGCTTTGTCATTGAGGGGCTTTGAATGTCTGAGCCTTGAGAATGTTGCAGGAAATGCAGAGCCCCTTGTCCCTGCCGCCTGCCACTGCCACAGGGCCACGTGGTTCCAGGTGCGCTGCCCTGTGCACATAGGAACGAGGGCTTCCAGTACCTGGGAGGCTGGCCTCTGGCTTGAGAGATGGCTGCTATCTCTGCTGCCAAAGTGGGAGTTAATTGGCCTTTTTCCTCTCAAAATGCCCTGTAACTCAGAAAGGCTGAACATTAACATTTCTCCTGTGGCCAGTGAGTGGCCCCTAGCGCCAGTGCTCTGCTGAGCTTGCAGCCCGATGCTCGCCAGGCTGGGCCCAGGGTTGCTGTGTGCAGGAAGTGGCCGGCCTGCCCCAGCTTGGCCCAGAGGTCCCTCCTCAAGCTGTGCCTCCCCAAGACCTCCACAAGTGTCACTTCCTGGCTTCCTCAGGTGCCCTGGTCTTTTTGCTATGCTTTCTTTCCTCCTGTTTTGTTTTTTTTTCATTGAGATGTGCCTCACGTGTGTGCGGCCCAGGCTGGCCTGGGATTCCTAGGCTCCCGTGACCCTCCTTTTCCCGTGACCTGAACCTCTGGGACCACGGGTGCACACAGTGGCCCAGCACCGTCAGGCTCTCTGATCCCGTTGGGGCCTCCCTGGCACTGCTGCCACCGAAAGAGAAATGCGTGCTGAGAGCAGCCCTGTGGTGGGGAGGACTGCGCACAGCACACCTGAGGAAGACAGCGCGCCAGTGAGTGGGAGCTGGCGGCAGCCATTACCTCCGCCCCCTGCCCCCACCCCCACCCCCGGCTCTGCCTGAGACCCCTCTCCAGGACAGGGTGCACACCTCCCCACATGCCCACCAGCCTGTGGCCCACCCATCCCAGTGAGGCTCCAAGTCCAGAAAGCACTCTCTCACTCTTGGTGGCTCTGCCTTCTGTGAGGGCCCCGAACCATAGGGAACCCAGGGCCTTTGCTCTGAGCCCCAGCCCAGCCTTTTGCATTTTGAGCCTGGGCAGGGATTGAACGTGGAATCCTCTGGTGTCAGCCTTTCCAAGTGCTGGGATCACAGGCATGTGCCACCACAGCTGGCATCTCTCCCATGCCTGCCTGATGTGGTTCATGCCAAGAAACATGTGACGTCTTCCATGTGGAAGGGAAGGCCCTGAGGAGGGTGCTGTAGCTCCCCTTACCCTCGTCACTAGCCAAGTCGACCATTTCTCACCATTTCTTCCATCCACATGACACCTAACTCTGTGATTAAGGTGCCACAAGTCAGCCAAGACCCATTCTCTTTTTTACTCACCCCTCCATACCTCCCTTCTTCTCTTCCTTCTCTCGTCCCTTCCTTTTTTCCTTCCTTTTGTGATACGGGGATTAAACTGAGCTACATGCCTAGCCTCTTTCCCTATTTAAAAATTGTTTTTGAGACAGGGCCCTGCTAAGTTTTTTAAGTTGCCCAGACTGGTCTTGAATTTATGGTCCTCCTGCCTCAGTCTCCCAGAGTGCTGGGCTCACAGGCACGCACATAGATGTTGGTGCTTCCTCCCCTCAAAACCTGGTCAGCAACTGGCCAGATAGTTTAGTGGATTAAAGCGCCTGTTTAGGCGGACGCAGAGATAAGGGTTCCATCCCAGGTGTGCTGTGCCAGCCCCATCCCCAGGGCTTGCTGAGATGGTGACTGAGACTTGGCGTGGTGGCGCCCACCTATAATCCCAGCGCTTGGGAGGCTGAAAACAGGAGGATCACTACGAGTCCAATATGTGTGGTGAGACCCTGTAGACCTTGTACTGAATACATAAAGAAAAAAAAATTATAAAACCTGGTCAGCACCAAAGCTTAAACTGTGTCGCTCCCTCCCATCCACTGGAGACTGGACCTAGGGCACTCTGCTGAGCCACATCCCTACCCTGTTTATTTGTCTTTTGCAGTAGAGTCTCAGTGCCTTGCTTGGGGTGGCCTTGAACTTGAGATATGTTCCCTCCCCTGGATTCTAGGAAGGTGCCACTATGCTAGACTTCCTCATGCCTATTCTGAGGTCTCCAAAGTTTAGGGTTCTCGAACATTCGCCGTAGCTATTCAGCAGACCTTTTGCACCTCACTTGCACATCAGTAGCTGTATTACTTACGTTTAGTACAGGATGTTGTACCTGATCCAGGAGGAGACCTCCCAGAGCCAGTAAGCCCTTTCTAGTCTCAGAACAAGCTTCCTTTCTTGTGGGCAAAGGAAGTCCCTCTGTCTTCCCCAGGAGCATGGAAGAGAAGGCTTACTGTTGCTGGAAGGAAGGGGGCAAGACCGAGCCCCTCTTTCTCTTCAGTCTTCCAGAACAGGAAGGAGCAGCCTTTTTCTTTTCAAAGACCAGACAGTAAAGGCTCTGGGTTTTGGGTACCAGTCTTTGTGTCATAGTAGTTTACTTCTGCCACACTATAGATGACGCCTAGTCCCCATGCTCGCGCTGTGTTCCAGTGACACAGTCCACTGCTGAGGATGGGGACGTCTGGTCCGCAGGCTGTCGTTTGTCAGCCCCTGCCGTGGCCTAGTGGGAAGAAGATCACAGAGCCAGAAGGGTTTGAGGAGTTGTGCCGATCGCACAAGAGTCATGGGTCTGTGGATGGAGCATTGGCCTGGGGTGAAACCCAGTGAGATGGACCTCTGAGGGAACCAGTTCACTGTTATCACTTATTTTAACAGAATTTCAAACATCTATTCAAAATATGCTTTTATCTTTATCTCTGATTTTTTTTTTTTCACTTTTTTTTTTTTTTTTTTTTAAAGAGTTGCTCAGGACACTCCACTACGCACATTTCCCCAGTGGCTCCCCACCTCACACCAGGTCTGTGTCCCTGTGGGTGGCTTCCAGCAAG